TTCTTGGTCTAGACCCGAGACCCGACCCAAACCCATCGATTCTGGATTCGGGCACCCGTTCGGGTATTTAATTTTTGAAGAACCGCTCGATTCGGTTCGATTCCGGTTCGGTTCGGGACTTTTGGACATCCCTACCACTGCCAACACGAGTAGGCCACTACCATCACCATCGCCGCACGTCCTACCTAGATCTACCGCATCACCATCACCACACAACCTCACAAATACCACTGCCAACAACCACCACTGTCGTCCTTCCTAGAGCTACCGCACCACCATCACCACACAAGCTAACCAACACCACCTAAATCACCACTGCCAACAACCACCACCGACATCCTACCTAGATCCACCGCACAACCATTACCACACCGTCAACCCACATCCACACTCACCTACCACCACTGCAACTGAACGCCGTGCAACGACTAAGATCTGAGCGAGCGAGCTAGCTCACAGTCCGCTGCAGCAACGCTCAAATCGAGGAGCCTATACCGATGGACCTTTCTTGTAGCGACGAACTCGTCGGAGAACTTCTTGTGGAATCAACCCCTAATCCACCTCCTCAACCAGGTTGTAGATAGCATAATCGCCGAAGGACTTCGTGTAGACGACAACATTCTTGCACCGACGCCGGCCAGGGAAAGTATAGAGAAAGGGGAGAGAGTAGAGAGAGAGAAAAAACTCGAGAAATGGTTTGGAGGGATTGTAATTATTAGGGTAAAATATTAATGTTTAATTATTATTTTGATACCTGATTTTTGAATTATGAAACTTCAGCCCTGATTTTTGAATTGTAGTCTTTAAACAACTAGAATTATGTAATTTTCACATCAAAATAAGCTCATTATGCAACCAAAAAGGCCCGCGATAATGCTTATAGCGTAGCACAACAATTGGGCTTGAAAATTGGACCAGGAAGAAAAGAAGCCCTGGAACATGGCCCTAGAAATGGGCATGGCGTGGGCGGTGAAAATAGAGGTGCTAGCGCTCAATTTTTAATGTCTACAGACCTAAATGCTCCACTTTGTATGAATTAGGTACGTCGTGTGTAAGGTTCACAATAAATAATATTGCTCGTTGAATATGGCTCAATATAGGGATGGTAAAAAAGTTCGTCGGCTCGAGCGACTCAGACTCGACCCAAAAAAAGCCAGAGCGGGGCCCGACTCATGTGGCTCGGCTGGCCCGTGTTTTAAGGGGAAAAAAGAAATAAAAAACAAAAAATAAATTTAGTTGCCCACGTTTCAGCTGCCTGCAATGTGACTGCTGCCTACGTTTTACAGGCAACGATCACACACAAAAAAAATTAATAATAAAAAAAAATCGAGCCGAGCAGGCTCGAGCTGAAAGCTCGGGTAGAACCTAAAATTTTTGGCCGAGCTTTTACTCGGCTAGGTTCGGACCCAAAAAAGCTCGGACCTAGTTTACTCAAATCGAGTCCGAGCTTTGAGTTTCGACTCAGTTCGTTAATATGACTAGCTCAATACAAATAACAGTATCATGTCTTTAGAAAATTACTACTAAAAATGTCTCACTTTGAAGTAGACATGTTGTGCATCGCCATTCTCTTTTAAATTGCATGCAAGTCAAATGTGTCTATCGATGGTCTCGCAACTCAAATCTTATCTCGTGAATGTGTCAATTTCTAACATTATTGCCCTCTATTTTATTAGTTACAAACATTTCATTAATTCCACAATAGTAGTTATTCACACCACAATTTTTATTGTTGACAATACATTTTAATCTCAATGGCGGTTTACAATATTTTCTCATTTTTTGCACTTATGCATCCTTAACGTTCAATTAATCAGGATACCTTGTCTTTGATGGTGATTTCGGTCCAAATATTATGCTAACATGCATTTAAATGAGGAGCTAATATGTTGTCTAACTTTTCTATTTTTAGAGATAGAAGCAAGTACTAAATGAGCTCTTCAGTAAAGGAGAAAACGTGACAATATCATGGAGCAACGAAATTCATTGCGTTTGGATATCGAAATTCAAAAGTACAAGAAAAAAATTTGTAACCGTCACCTTATCAAACAAGTGGAATGAATTGCTGGAGAAAGAAATATTACAATGGGAAGTATGGAATGTTTCTTTCCCAGCCTAGCAGAAGCCAGTCCCAATTAAACTGTATTACACAATACTGTGCAATACAACAGACAAAGTCTAACCTCCTTTTCTCATTTAATCCTATCCAAGTGCATTGCGGTCCAACAAACCAAACATTCCATTACGAGGATCACTGAGTGTGTCTGGAAATGGTTTTGAATGCTAACCCATGTTAGATTTCCGGTTTATACAGGCTGCTGCATTATCGAAAACTATATTCTCCCCAACACAACAATTCCAGGACAAAATCAGCAGCTGGGGAAGCTAATAAATCTGAAAAAACTCAGCACCAATTCCAAGTAGTCTATTAATTTGCATGTCATCACACCAAATTCTAAAATTTAACAGTTTTATCTGACTTTATGGGGAGAAAAGATTAAGATGCGTGCATTTAAAAAATTATTCTTTTTCTTTTTTTTTTTCAAAGTATGATTCGGCAAAACTAGTAAATCAAACAAAATCAACATGCTCAGATGTTAATATCGTATACTTCCCTTACATTGGACTATCTATGACAGTTGATAAAGCTTCTTTCTACACAAGAAATTCTTCCCAGCAAATGGAATTTAAAAACAATGGTGAAATCATGGTACTTTCCTCTACTAGCAACAGTATATATCAATTTTCCCACTCAATCATGGTTCTCTTCTCTCATTACATTATATTCAAGATTTCAGCCAAATGAATGGATGAAATGGTATCCTTTATTATTCTACAAAAGATAAAACCAATTCTCCGTTGACAGATTTTCTCAAGATGTCTTCCCTACTCGAAGATTAACTGCTGATCCTAGCTAACATATTAGAATAACCTTGAACTTTTAATTTGTCCCCTTCAAGATAGACTTCTCCCTAGGAAAACGGCTTGATTTCGAAGAAGAGGTAAATTTTTATTGTTTATTTTGATGGACAGTCCAATGTTTAGTGTGGATGAGAATGAAAACCCGATGCCGGACTATGCAAAGCGAACATATTGAAAGGATTGAACTTATCGAACGAGGCCTATTCAACTACAGGAATTTCTTCTGGTTCGCTACTTAGATTATTGGATTGGACCGAAACCAGCTTAGGGTGAGCTACTTACTTACTTGACTTTCTTCCTTGTGGAAATGGCCGATTCACTACTCCCTCGAACTGTCTTATCACTTTCCTGGTTCACAACTAGCTCTATTTTCTCTTTCTCCTTTGGCTTTCAACACTAGAACAGTTCCTTCAAAGGAGAGAAAGAATTAACCGGCACAGGAGCACAGAACAAAGGAGAAGGGCTTTAGCGCAAGTACGGGATGGTCCAATCGATACTTGTTTGAAGCCTTTGTCCCCCCACATACTATCTCTTGTTTCCACTACACATTTCGACCCCCATTTCACACTCTGTATGATCAATGATGCTCCTCTCCTTAATTTAAGATGGAAACCAATAGTGATTTGATTTTGGTTACTGGAGATATTTGGCAGAAATGAACTGTATATGCAGGTGTATAACATTTTGCACTGTACCTTATTCAAGTATGAATGATGATGATTTTAGCCTTTCATGCGTCAAGTAAGAAAGAAAATCCTCCTTTTATGAATCCAAAAGGCCTGTAGAAATAAGGACTGAAACAAAACTTACAAATCTATAACAGTTAGGGCACCAAATCCAGATTGTTCACTCATCCACGATGCTCCAAATCATCCTAAAATGACGTAAAATTGGCACCATCAATTTAAGGATTAGATCAAATATTTCAACGGGATAAAAAATCGATTATAGAAGACATCTGAGAATACATACCAGAATATTGACAAGGCTAGAATTATCACAATATATCCAAGCTTGTACAACCTTCGCTTCTTCTCCCAGGGAAGCTGGTTGAAGATCTCAGTTACATCAACCAAATGCTGCCTCTCAGAATATCTGATCACGTGTCAGATCAGTTGTTGGATCCCACATCCCGAGATTAAAATTCCAAAACATGGTGCAGGAAAATTGCAAAAACTAGTAGTTGCATTCTCTGTGAATTATGCATGTCACATATCCAGAGTGCAATATATATGGACAGACACAGACTTTACCTCGAGCTGTGTTTGGCTAAGCTTCGTAAAAAGGGAAAGTTACTTTTAAGTAACTTTTTATGTCGAAACATGTTTCAATATTTATTTTTTCTTGTAAGTAAATAAAAAGTCATATTTTTTGAAGTATTATTACCATAGTGTCAAAATAACTAACTTATTTCCAACTTTGAAGTTTTTTGTTTTAGTTATTTACTTACGAGTAGGCCTAGGCATGGTTCGGGTTAGGTTGGTTTTGAGTCCAACCGGAAACCAAAACCGACTTGGTCGATTTGGGTAAATTCCAATTCAAACCAGCTCAATCCAACTGTTGAAACTAAACCAAGGTTAGTCGGTTTGGACATTGATTCGAGTTAAAAAAATTTGTTTACCTATTTTGGGTTTAAATATATATATAATTTTTTTTTTCTTGTGAGTGCGTATCAATAATATATATAATATAAATGGTAAATTGTCGATTTTCCTAAAATCATCCTATATATCTAATAGTTGTCAAAAAAAAAAAAAAAAACAATTACATCAAAATGAAAAGTAAGGCTACAATTTGAATTTGAAGTTTATAGCAATCAATTCTTCTCAGTACTTTTCTTTTCTTTTTGAATTTGGAGTTTTAATAGAATAAGCGTAGATGGTAAACTAGTTATTTGAGAAAGATTTATATTTGTGTTTTTATTATTTTGTTTTTATATTAAAAAATTATGAATTTTAAAATTAAAAAGAAAATTAAAAAAAAAATGTATTAGCTCGGTTAACTGATGAATTGGTTGCTTAAACCGTAACTAACCCGACCTAACTTTTTTCATGGTTAAAATTAACCGAACCAAACCAATTTTTTGATTCAAACCAACCCAAACTGACGCGAATCGGTTTGGTTTGATCGGTTTTTCAATTTTTTTGCCCACCAATTACAAGTGAATTTGCTTGTTATTATATTTTGATGCTTAACCAAACATTCTCCTCATTTTAGCATATGGTTCAGGACAAATATCTTTAACAAGTTAATTTGTTATCCAAGTAACATACAAAGGTAAAAAAAGGCTAGAGGGGTTTAGACATAAAATCAGTAGCTGGCATCAGTTTGCACAATTGGAGACAGACACCTCCGGTAAACTAGTTTGTACATAATAAAAACAAGCTACTCATCTGACTAATCAAGGAATAGATCCAAAAAAGATCTTGACATGCATATTTGTAGTCCGTCACGTTCTAATTATATTGCAAAATAAATAAAATAAAATAAAAATTACTCCCCCTAAAAAATTTGAGTGGAAGGCAATAGCTTTAGAGGAAGGTAAAATAAATGTAGCACACAACTGTCAAGAGATACAGTGTTAGATATGTCCAGTTCATTACAGCCTGCACTCATCATTAAGGTCAATTAATTCAAGCAAGAAATGAAGGTTGAACAGATATTTTCTGCCCTTAGCTCATATAGTTATTGATAGAGTATTATCGTTTTAAACATAATAAGTATTATAAAATTGGGAAACGTGAATGCCATCCACATCAAACTACGGTATGCACCATCTGCAAATACTTCATAAAAAATAGCCTTCGCTCACCTTCTCTGAAATGGCAAAGTAACAAAACTAACAATATTCTGATCCTTGTTACATCTGAACATGGCAACTTGATCCTTTCGA